CTGGGAGGGTGGGGGTCAGAGATGCCGGACCGGGCAATTTTTCGACACCCCTCACGAGGATCGTGGCCTCCGAGGGGGGGGGCGCAATCGACTACCCCCGCCCCTGCCCCAAGAGGCCCCCGAGAGCCCCGCAAGAGGCCCTGGGGGCCCCCAAGACGCCGCCAAGGAGCCCCAAGAGACTCCCAAGAGGTCCCCAAGAGGCCCCTAAGAGGCCCTAAAGAGGGCTCCAGGGCCATCGGATTAAGCGAAGCGATTAAATAACATCATCAACATCATCATCATCATCGGGACACCATCATCATCATCATCATCAGCACCATCACCATCATCAACATCATCATCATCATCATCATCATCATCATCATCATCGAGACACCATCATCATAGTCACCAGCATCATCATCACCAGCATCATAACCATTCTCATCATTATAATCGGGATATCATCATCATGACAACATCAACATCATCATCACCATCACCAGGCCACTATCATAAAAATCATCATCATCATCACCTCATCCTCATCATCAACATCATCGTTATCATCATCATCATCATCATCGGGACTCCATCATCGTCATCATCAACATCACCATCATCGGGAAACCATCATCATCATCACCATCATCATCAACAGCATCATCAACCTCATTATCATCATCGGGACACCATCACCATCATCATCATCATCATCATCATCATCATCATCATCATCATCATCATCATCTTATCATCATCTCATCATCATCAACATCACCATGATCATCAACAACATCATCATCATCATCATCATCGGGACACCATCATCATCATCACCACCATCTCCATCACCATCATCATCATCATCATCATCACCATCATCATCATCAGCATCATCACACTCATCATCATCGTCAACATCATCAACATCAACATCATCATCATCAACGGGACACCAGCGGGACACCAGCGGGACACCGCGCGCCACCGGCCCCCAGTCAGGAATCAGTTGGTCCGGCCGCGCCTCAGCCAGAGGCGGGACACCGGCGGGACATCATCGGGACACCATCATCATCATCACCACCATCTCCATCACCATCATCATCATCATCACCATCACCATCACCATCACCATCATCATCATCATCATCATCATCATCATCATCATCATCGTCAACATCATCAAAATCAACATCAACATCATCATCATCATCACTATCATCATCATCATCATCATCATCATCATCATCATCATCATCATCATCATCATCATCATCATCATCATCATCATCAACGGAACACCGGCGGGACACCAGCGGGACACCGCGCGCCACCGGCCCCCAGTGAGGAATCATTTGGTCCGGCCGCGCCTCAGCTGGAGGCGGGACACCGGCGGGACACCGCGCCCCACTGGCCCCCGGCCAGGAATCATTTGGTCCGGCCGCGCCTCAGCAGGAGGCGGGACACCGGCGGGACACCGCGCCCCACCGGCCCCTGGTCAGGAATCATCTGGTCCGGCCGCGTCTCAGCCGGAGGAGACTCTCTTCTCGCCCGCCCACGCAGCCTCGCCTCGCCGGCACGCACAGCACGCACGAACACGGAAACCGAAACCGATTTCGCGGTAGGGGGGCTCTCCGTTCCACTTCGATCTCACCCCCTCACCTCCGATTTATTCCCTGAGCTTCTGAGGGCGCATCCCCAAGACTACCATTGCCATAGGCTTGCCGATCGTAGGGGCTGGGTAAAGTTCGAGGCCAATTGACCACAAGCAACCCGCACAGGGGCTTAGAGATCATCCGGGCGAACGAGGCCTCAGCCCGAATGTGCGCGAGCAGGGATGCGGCAAGTCTTTCAAAATAGGCATCGTTCGTGCCAGATGCGTTTGCGCCCCCGCAGGGTGCGGGCACGCCGCGGCAAGGCCACCGTCCAGGCCAACTGCAACAGCGTCCACCCGCCCCGCAAGGCACCACCGAGATGGTGGATGCCCTGTCCGATCGATCCCTGATCCGATCCTGTGTGGGCCCCGGAAACGGCAAAGCCGTTTTTCCACCGTTTCCCAAAAAAATGTCCCTTGAAAATGGAAACGGCAAAAAAACGGCGACCCGAAGCAGCAGCAAAAAAGGCTCCAGGATTTGAACCGGAGCCGGAACCGGTCAAAAAGCGGTGACGGAACCGGTAACAAAAACGGCGTCCGAACCGGCAAAAAAAACGGCAAAAAAGGAACCGGTAAAAAAACGGCCCTGTCGTTTCCAGGGCCCACTAAGATCCGATCCCCCCAAAACGTTGCCCCTGAAAAGCCCCATCCACCTCCGCCAGCGGGGGGCCTGGCCTTGCGGCTGCGGCTGTCGTTGGCGCAGAGGTGCATGGTCGTGGCGTCCTCTATGACTGTGGAGATGAGGCCTGGCAGGCCGTTTACGATAGCTCGTCACCCAAAGCCACGTCGAGTCAGAATCCTGACGGACGTCCCCCTCCAAGCTCCGCTTCCTCCTCCTCCTGTTTCCCGCCGCCTCCTCCCCCACAGTGATTCAGTGTGAATGCGAGTGTGCACCAACAAAACGAGGTATTGAATAATGTCTGTTCAATCGGAATGATGCGGGTCTTTCACCATTCCCGCTGCAACGCTGGCTTCTTTTCAAGATCGACGCTTTGCTCCCGTCGTTCAGCATGGCGCCGTTTCCCCAGCGCGGGCAGCCATTCTGGGTCCTTCCCCGCCTCCGCCATCCATTGTTCTTCCTGCTCCACCCGCTCCTTCGACTTCTGTTCCTGATGCCGCTCCTCCTCGTCGTCGTCTTCTTCCTTCCTCATCCTCATACTCCTCCTCCTGCTCATCCTCGCGGTCATCTACAACATTCCTTCCCCTCCAATGTGCACACCTCTCCTGGCCCCACTGTTCATAACACGATGAAAGCCTTTTGAAGGTGCCACGTCCGCTTTGACCCCCGTCGGCGGGTGAAGCAAAACAAACGCAGCGTGAAAATAATGGGACGGACAGGGTAAGATGTCAGATTTGGCGCGGGCGTTCCTACTCTGCCGTGCCCCCCCTCTCTTCTCATCTATTCCTCATCCATTCCTCCTCCCACGCCGCATCATGCCTCCTCCTGTCATCCTCCCCTCCTGATCACGGCCCCCTCCTCAACCTCACCCTTCGATTCAGCATTATACTCCTCACTTGACTCGCCCACATCCACTGCCCCTCTGCACCCCTCCTCTTCCCACGTCCGAGTTATCCTCATGATCCTGTTCCTCTTCCCCCGCATTAGCGAACTCGTTGTCCACGTGCCCCTTCTCCTACGCACCTCCTCCACCTCCTCCTTAAGGTGTTAATCGTGCACTTCCTCCTCCTCCTCCTCCTCCTCCACCTCCTCTTCCTCCTCCGCCTCCTCCTCCTCTCCTTATCAGCCTGGCCCTTCGCTTTTCTTTCCTGGCCTTCCACCCTTTCTGTGCACACGTGTGTCTATATATATACACACGCACGCGCGTGGCTCTCTGTCTCTCTCTCTCTCTCTCTCTCTCTCCTTTCTCTCTAAATATTTCCCTCTTTCTCTCGCTCCCCCTCCCTCCCTCCCCCCCCGTCCCTCTCGCTCGATATATTTCTCTGTGGGCCGTCTCACCCCCTCTCTGTCTCCCTTGCGAGCGATGTGTATATATATATATAGATGTACTATAAATTTATCTACTATAATATATGCATAAATGGAGCCCTTCCCTGGCCCCGGGTGCCACACCTCCCCGCCACATTTCGGGGACGCTCCCGGTACCGTTCCCCCGGGCGTTTTGGGGAGCCTCCACAGCGCTCCCAAAAAGGCCCAATACGACCCCCACGAGCGCCCAGAGTGCGAAAGGATGGCCCAAGATGCCGCCAAACACCCTAAGTCAGCCTTCCGACGGCTCTCGAGGCCCCCAAGCAACCTCCAAATGACAATAAGAGAGGTCTGAGAGGCGTCCCGGGACCGCCCGAAGAGGCCAAAATCGTAGGCTGCGGAAGTTGTCCTCAGGACTGCCCAACCAGCATCCTCAATGACCCAAGAGGGCCACACGAGAAACTCCAACAACGCTAACGAAAACCAGCATCGGTGACTATCTGTTGGTTTTTGCATACAATGAAAACACACACACACAAAATCTCGTCGTCCCGGGCTGCCGTCAGTCCAAGACGACCCGATAAGCCTCCACGGCGGGACCGAGAAGGCCCAAGAGGCCCTTCGGAAGGTCTGAAGATGGCCCAGGATGGTGCAAGAGCCATGTACGACCGAGTCGAAAGCTTCCCAACGGCCCAAGGCAGCGCCACGATGGCCCCACGACGGCCATACACGGCACAAGAGGGCCACAAGACAGCGTGAGAGGGCACCGAAATGGCCCAAGAAGCCTCTGAGGGACCCCCAAGGCTGCCTCAAAGGAGGCCCAGGCAGCCCCAACATGGCCCAGACGAATTCCATGAGAGCTCCTCAAACAGGAAAGGGTGGCACCTCTAATGGCCTTTCCTCTTTGTTTTCTTGTTTGCATCGGGCACCGCTCGGCTGCCGAGCAGGTCAGATCGACCAAGTTGCTCACAACTTGCGGCCAGCCTCTGCGGGATGGCGCACCTCCAGGGCCCTTGTGATCCTGCGCAAACGTGCGCGGCCAGCGGCCTCTAGACGGCCCGCTGCATCCCTGCTGCCGAATCGCCCCGTTCACTGGGCCCCGAGGAGTTTGCATCGCCCTGCTCATCTCTGGAGAAACCTCCGCACTTCGCGCACAAACGATATCCGAAGTCAATCCTGATGGCGCGCCCTCGGTCGTCAATCGTAGCTTCGCCGACCCCGAGCACGTCGAAAAGCTCGAGGTCGCCCCCGGCCGCTGCCTCCGCAGCTGCCAGGGCCAGCGCCGCAGTGGCAGACGAGGCGCGGCCCTCTGGCGGGGCCGCGCTGCCACGCACCAAAGCCCCTGGCCGCGCATTGCAAGGGGAACTCCAGAGCACAGCCGCGCTGTCGAGGGAGCTGGAGCGGCAGCATCGCAAGCAGCGCGCTCGCCCAGCACGC